AACTTTGGCACAGCAGAGAATCAAGCCCTTTATTCACTGCCTGCTCTGCTTCTGTGCCTGTACCAACTGTGCGTTGTGGATTGATGATCTAGCCAATAAGAAAGATTACTCTAATGAAATAACTCAATGACCTATAAAATCAAACAAAAAAGGCAAAAGTTTATTCTTTTCATAATTGTTGATACTGACATAAATTATATAACCCAAAGCAGCAGATCTTGCATCTTAAATAAACATTATGGTGTTTTATGGCTAACTGTTAACTTGATCTGCAGTAATATGGAAGTCGTTCCAGAGTCTGTAAGTAGAAATAAAAGCATCTGCTTGAAATTGCTTGGAGGTTTGGGATGTTGGAAGTGCTAACTTGGGAAATGGATTAATGGGCAGAATGCCGGTGACACCCTGAGATTTGTGTGATCAGCTACATGTATCATGTAGCTACTTCCATTGTTTACATGGTTCTTATAGAAAAGCAGGACAGAGATAGATAGCAATGCCACCTTTAAGTCAACAGTTTTGGAGAATTGTCGCCAATACTAATGTTTTCTAACGTTAGAAAGTAGAAATGTTTTGAATGACTCTTCTTGGGTGACATTCCTAAAGCAAATGGATACCATGTGCGTGATTCATTAATCTAGTTTTGTATGCATCTAAGGATGATCACAGCCCTTCACAAGCCAAACCAGAGTTCAGTCGGTTTATATAAAGAGATCTCTGCTCTATGAAAGCTCATAGTTCTGTCTGCCTGCATTAGAGGATTCTTCTTTCTGTTGTGAAACTTCCATTGGTGTATAATAGGAACTACAGGACAAGATTATAATGCACATTTTTGGAAAAATGCATCCCAAATTTCCTTGCTGAGCTACTTCAGAAACTCCCTCTTGTCCCTTCTGCTGATCCCAGATGGGACACAGTGAGCAGTAGTTCCCTGCCAGTATAGTTTCCTTGTCTTATTGGAAGTTGCTGTGGCTGTGAGATGAACTGACAGGCCAGTGCAGCATGTTCTCACTCGTGGAAGAGCAGTGCTGAGAATGGAACTACTCGGCATTCTGAATTTGCTACCCAAAAGTATTTAGTCTCTTTTTCCAGGTCTTTCCCCTCCCCCACTCTTTAAACAAGCTGGCTATTGCATCAATCCCTGTATTAGTGCATGTCCTCAGGTCTCAGGGGCCTCAGGTTCCATTACAGTGACTTTACACAAGGTCACAAGCAGAGTGATTGTAATGGTCTCTTGGCTAGGTCCCTGAGGACATGTTCCCTTAGTACAGGAGCAGTCTTCCACAGTATTGGCATGGAGGCTGCTGAAGAAAAGCTGTGTGTTTGTAACAGATAGGCAAAAACAACCCTTACCCTGGGGTTCCAGGTGTGTTAACCCCACCAAGCCCATGCAGTTGTGTATGATTTTCTTTTCATGTCTTTGTATGGGTTTTGTCAGTCATTTTAGTCTCCTCATCTGGTCTCTTAACTGTTCATTTGTGTTTGCCGCTTGACCAGAGCAGCATCACCTCTGTGCTCCTTAATTGGATGCTTATCTTGCTGGGATCGTATGACCCCAGCTGACTTCCTGCCCTTTGGGCGGGGGGCTGGACTCGATGATCGTCTGAGGTCCCTTCCAGCCCTAATGTCTATGAAATCTATGAAATCTAATAGGGTCACAATGCACAGTGATTCAGCCTTAATTTGTGTCTGGAGCACTACTTGAGCCCTCCTAGTAGAAACTCCCAAGAGGATTTACTAAATCAGTACATCTGGCCTTTCAGGTTCCCGTCCTTTTCAGGCTGCTTTCGTCCTTTTCAGCCATGCTTCCCTGCCACAGAGGGAGATCATATGGACATGAGGCTGCTCTGACATGCTGTGATTACAGTGCATTGGAGCGCACTCAATTAATTGAGTCCACTGGAGTGGTATAATTATCGCACTCCAGAAGACTCCAGCATCACAAGTATCAGCATCCCTGTGCTAAAAAATGACAGTGGGGGTGCTTTAACTAAAGCTCACTGAACGAGCTTTAGCTAAAGCGCCCCTGCTGCCATTTTTCAGCACAGGAACAGTGATACTCGTGATGCTCTGGGCGCTTTAATTACAACTACTCTTGGAGCTGCTTTAATTAAAGCACTCCCCTCCTCCCCCCCCAGGAGCATGTGTATAAACGCCCTTTGTGGTGTTGCAGTCTCTTCCATCACTGATGTTGTCCCTTGAGGACTCAGTCTCAAAGTCTGTGCCAGCATATGTATACACAGACAGAGCTCCCAACACCAGCTAAGCATCTGCAAACCATTGGGGAGGAAGGGCAAGGAGGGAGACCTCATTCTACTTCCTGTCCAACTGATTAATATACTAAACTGTATCCTAAACATTAGAGAATGGAATACACATGTTGTTGTCACTTTTATGTTTTAACACCTGAAATGACCCAGTTTGATTTATCATATGGGAGAATTCCAGGGCTAGCTGTCTGCTCTCTTTCTGTAGTTGGGGCAGACTGAGATGAGAGATGCAGAAGGTACAGTGGAGCTGACCTTCCCATCTCAAACTCTGTATTGGTACATGAGTGGACCTCATAAAAAGGAGTGGGTAACAGCTCTGCTGTACTTGGAACAAAGTACTTGCTCACTGTGGCCTTATTCCCTAGTTGGGTCATCTGGTTCTCAAACAAAATACTGATTTCAGTATCCAGTGACTGGCTGTTCTTCACCCCTTTCTCCAGCCCACAAGACTTTTCCCCTCTGAGGGGTGGCAGAGCAGCCACTCAACCTTATGGAGTCTCCTGGCCTCTTACCCTTCTCCATGGAATTGCCGGAGGAAGGTACAATGTAGTTCCAGGAAAGACTCCTGAAGGTAGAGAACTCCAGTTTGAATCATTGGCCTTGTAGGGCAGCTTTTATCTGTAGAGCACTATGATAGAACTTTTTAATGCAGAAATTATAAGCATTAGATAAGCCAGATTTGAATCACACAGTCAGTTCTTCCACCTTGGAAAAATGGGACTTGGGAGAAAATACAGCTCTTGAGAAGAGAAGGGAAGAAGTAAAAACCCAAATTCTGTAGCATGTAAAATATTAGTCATTAATGGTAGTTGTATAGTATCTCCAATCCTAGGGCCCTATGGCTTTGCTAACAGATTGTGTTTTTCTCTCTCTTTTTCTCTTTCTCTCTGTTTAGCAGGAAGGAGCGTCCTAATTCTCTGAACGTCTTCCCCCTTGCAGATGGAATGGTACGTGGGCAGATAGGGGCCAAGATCATCCCCACAGTGGACCACTGGCACCTGAGTGACCTCGGCCAGCTGCAGTCCAACTCCAGCTACAAGGTTTTTTAGACCATCATGGAACAAGGGTTTCCCACTCTCCCACTGTCAATAGCATCCCACATCTTCATAAAGACAAGAGACCAACATGTGTCCATAACCCTTTGCAGCCTCTCTTTTTTTCTACATCTGATCCATTCTGATAACTAAACTGAACAGGGGAAGGGTGACTTTAAGATATTCACAGGTTTTACATGGGGTATAGGCTGGGTTTGACGCCGCTCAGCTTTCTTGTCACCTTCTGATTTTTGTCTGAAACTTAATTCTCTCTAATTCCCTGTGAGTTTGATTTGTTTGTGGTGGATAGAAGTATGTGAGGAGAGATTTAGGAATCACTCTACTTTTGAACCAATGCGGTTCATGGAGCATTTGCTAGAGGAAGTAGTGGAATCTGTCTTTTGCTCCTACATAGGAACCTGGGTTTGGACATTATTCTGCATTGGCCTGTGTTCATGTTCTGCTCTTTCTAGTCATTGCTGTTTTAATCTTCTTGTCTTTGGATCCATCTATACTAGGCAAAAACAGTGCATGCAGCCCTACTGATGTACCTGATGCCTTAAATCAGAAATACTTCCCGTGCTTACACAAACTATGTAGGTACTCATTGGATCAGCTGTCTGTATTTTGCCACATTGGAGCAAGCCTTTCCATTGCCTTGATAATTGTCACTGACTGTTCAGCCTGTGGGGCTGAACTCACAACATTACAGCTACTTTAGTGCAATTGGTCCCTTGCAACCCTACCAGTCAGCCCCAAGAAACTAGAACCCTACTTGACACCTATCTGCATTTGTTTATGTTGTTCCCCTGGTAAGTAGCTTCACATTTTCTATCAAGCCAAGTAGCAATTGTGACATTTACTTAGCTGTGCCTGGAACATGCCCACCATTATTCCAGTTCTATTAGACATGAAGTTGTTTCCAGCTATATGTGGAAATATGTATAATAAAATGCCCCAGCTATACTGAACGCACTGTTAAAAATTAATGTTAATCCTTTGATAGGGCAGCAAAGCCCAATATCATATCATTAAACTGGCCAAAGGGGGCTGCTGTGCTCCTGTAAGCCTATAACCACTAATCTTGTAAAAAAATAAAATAAGGTAGAGCATGGTAAAGAGAGAGAAATACAGCTATTCAGCCAGCATCAGTTGGAATCAGTTGCACTTTGGCCTGCCTGTACTCTTCAAGATTGGGCCTACAACAGATAACAGAAGTAGTGTAAACAAATTTTAAAAACGCACAAGACAAAGCTGCCACATGGGTGTGACAGTGTTCATCACAGCACAGACCTTCACAGCAGGCATGGAGCCCATTCAGGGGGTGCAGGATGTCAGCCCTCTGTCATCACAGCTGTGGCAGTGTGAAGGCTTGGTGCCTCTGGACACATCCCCAGATCATCAGGAAGGACCAAAACAGTTCTTAGAACCTGGTCACTGCTTTCTCTTATAACCAGAGCCTGGGCCCTGGCTGGCTTAGTGGTAGGGGTGTGTTAATGTAACGCAGATACAAAAAACCCTTAGACTTAGCCCTAGTTCCCCCAGTGCCATTCAAGTCCCATAACCTTTCCAAAAATTTCTTGCTCTGGAGAACTATGGTGGGAGCCATAGGGTAAGACAAGGATGGGCAATTATTTCAGCTGGAGGGCCACTTAATGAGTTTTGGTGAGCCGTTGAGGGCTGTGTGGGTAGCCCCACCCTTTGACAGCTGCCCCTGCCCCTTTTGCAGAAAAGGACCTGGGGGTTACAGTGGACATAAGCTGAATATGAGCCAGCAGCGTGCCCTTGTTGCCAAGAAGGCTAATGACATATTGGGCTGCATTGGTAGGAGTGCTGCCAGCAGGTCAAGGGAAGTGATTATTCCCCTCTATTCAGCACTGGTGAGGCCACATCTGGAGTACTGTATTCAGTTTTGGACCCTCTATTACAGATAGAATATGGACAAATTGGAGAGAGTCCAGTGGAGGGCAACAAAAATGGTGAGGGGCTTGGGGCACATGACTTCTGAGGAAATACTGAGGGAACTGGGCTTATTTAGCCTGAGAGGGCTAAATAAGAGGGGACTTAATAGTCCCCCAGTGGAGGACTGAGAGGGGACTTAATAGCAGCCTTCAACTACCTGAAGGAGGTTCAAAGAGGATGGAGCTAGACTGTTCTCAGTGGTGGAAGGTGACAGAACAAGGAGCAACAGTCTCAAGTTGCAGCAAGGGAGGTTTAGATTAGGTATTAGGAAAAACTTCTTACTAGGAGGGTTGTAAAGCACTGGAACAGGTTACCCAGAGAGGCTGTAGAATTTCCATCTTTGGAGGTTTTCAAAACCCAACTAGACAAAGCTTTGGCTGGGATGAGCTAGTTGGGGATGGTCCTGCTTTGAGCAGGGGGTTGGACTAGATGACCTTCTGAGGTCCCTTCCAGCTCTAACTTTCTATGATTCTATGATTCTATGGTCACCATCTTGGGACTGGAAGTGCCCCCCAGCCCCTGACCTTTGCCACTGGAAGTCCCTCCCCTTGCCCTTTTGGGAGGGGGGGTTGCCATCTTAGAACCAATGTTCCCTCTAAAGTGTAGCAGTCTGTGAGTGCGCTGCTTCGGTCCCGCCTCCCCCTTTGGCTAAGCCTGGATCCAGACTATGCTAAGCCTCATAGACTAGAATCCTCATGTAATGGATCCTCAGCATTATTCTCGGGGTTAGGGTCCCCACGAGGGGCAGGGGCACCCTATAGGCAGTGTGGCTCCCATGGGGGCACAGGGGCGCCCTATAAGGGAGCATGGATACCCTCTAGGCAGTGCGGGCTCCTGCAGGGGAAGCTGGGGCACCCTAGGGGCAGCAGGTTCTTTATAGGGGGCAGGGGCACCTATAGGCAGTGAGGCCCCCATAGGGGCACCCTGTGGGCCCCAAGCCCCTATGAGAAGCAGGGCCCTGCAGGCAGAGCCCCCCCGTTCACCTGGGTTGAAGTGGCCCCTGTAGCGCTCCACGCCGATGAAGATACAGAAGGACATGGCTAATTCTGGCTGCATGGCCCCTCCCCCAACTCTGCCTGTGCCACTCCCTGTGGCCACTGGGGGCACTGCCGGATAAGGTGGCGCAGGCGGGCGTGCAGGGCAGGCGCAGGGTGGGGGGCAGCTCCAGCTCTGAGGTGTAAAAGCAGCTGAAAGGTGGGGAGCGACACTGATCCAGCAGAGCAGTTCCCTGGCAGATGAAAATGCTGGGCGGGCCAGATCTGGCCAGCAGGCCATATTTTGCCCGCCCTTGGGGTAGGAGTTCCACATTACACTGGTATGATCAGGGATGGAGGCTTGTAGACGTGGCACAAGCATCTTTCTGCCAGCTGATTTACATTATGCCTTTGCTGCAAAGACACAATTCACAGCCAGTGCTTGTATGTCCTGTTTGTTGCTGTGATGTTGCATTCCCCTGGTGCAGATGGAACCAAAATCTCTCTCAATAGATCAGTTCTCCATGGTGTTTCTTTTGCAGGGGAATGCTATGAGAAAGATGAGGCTGGATCTATTTTTCACATTTATAGAATGAATGAGGCCAGTTCTTTAACCTGTATGCTGTGAGGGAGAGATTACAAGCTTCTTACTAATAGCTACCTACAGTTTATCAATAACTCACTCAGCATGGCAAGAAAATTCAACAGGAATCCAAAGAAAATTAAAAGACTTGAATTCTGCAGTGTGCTGCCTTTCTTTGCAATTTGTTCATACTTGTAATTGGCAAAAAAAATCTATAAGAGATATAAAACTTGGTCAGTACTGGTAGTGCTCAGCTGTGGGACTTTCCAAGGTACTGCTGGGATTGATAGTCAGTGTTCGTTAAAGAAAGCCCTGGGCATATCTATAAGGAGATCAACTTGTAGGGGATGGAGTTTAACAGGGTTATGGAAACCTTTAGTGTGTTAAGGTAAATTTCTTAAGGAGTACGGATATGGTCCTGTGAATAGGTTGTGGCATGTGAAAAATATGGAATGAGTAGGTGTTGTACAGTAGAAGATATTGGTTAACAGGTTGGGATAAAAGTAGCCCTTATATAAGGGTCTCAGTTGTTCTCTGTAAGGTGGTTCTGTCTGACTGAGGCATTATTTCACAAGTGTCTTTGCTCAGCCACTAAAAAGCACAGCAGTACTGTCCATGCAATAATTCTGATGCTCATTTCAGCAGTTAGATGTGCAATGTCCAGCATGATGGTATATGCATACAAATGAAAGACATAGGTGCATTTGTTTGGGCTCACAAGATAAAACAGCAAGCAAAGAAGAAGTGAATAAAATTTGATTGCAGCATTATGGTAAAAATTCTCCATATCAATATCTGCTTCAGTTGGACCTTAGGATTCCAGACAGGACTGCAAGAAAGGCATCCACTTGGACAAGCTATTTTAAACTAAAGCAGTATGGAATAAGGGGTCAGATGGTTCTTAACAAATGCATGGCTGCAAAGGGTTGAGTTCCCATTTTTTTCACAGTCTTCATTCCCATCCCATTTTGACTTCTTTTGCTGTGTTATAAAGAACACAAATTTGCAAATCACTGGAGTACACACAGCATCACAACCCCAAGATTGCGAGGCCTAAGATAGCCTCAAAAGAGTCATTAGTAAACTGAGTGGATGCAGAAACTGTCCAGCAGCTGCAAATGAAAGAGGAAGTAACCAGAAACAGCTATATTTAGTAAGTTGGGGTATAGACATCAATGACTTTTTCACTCAGTTGCAAAATATTGTAATGTATAATTCTAGACATTGATTTTGTCACCCCCTTTCAGGCAATGCCTAAGGTGGGCTGGGTAGTAAATGGTTACACACTTTGCCAATAGATTTCACTTCAGTTTGGTTAGAAGATGAATTGCTAAATCTGAAGCAGTGTTTCCTTAAAGAGAAAGCAGGAAGAACAGCATCAAATCCTGGGGCTTTTTTAAACGGTTCCTGTGTTTTTTAGGATGTGGTACTATGAGGAATGACACTGCCATGTATATACATACCAGAGACTTGTTGGTGTACATTTCAAGTTTGAAATATCTCTCATGAATTTCTTTATAACATATTTTGATTAATTTTTTTAACACCTGAGTCCCACCTTTGGCTGTATTCTGTGTCACTCTGGGTTCATGCCTGGCTAGCTTCTAGATGAGATGATCCAGCCATGTCATTCTTCCCTTCCAGCAAAATAAAACCATTTCAGCTTGATTTCCACTTTGCTTCTGCTACCTAGGCTCAAAAATACTTCCCTGTGCTTTCAAATGAAGTGGCAGCATTAGAAAGATATTAAACAAAGCTCTGTGTGCCCTACAATGGATGCATTGACCCGCCACAGTGACAGAGCCAGAGCTTCTATGGGACCACTTCATACACTGCCTAATGCAATGTCCAGAAATGACTGTCTTCTCCCTCTTGCACTGGGCATCTGGAAACTGTTGGCCTGATTTTTTTAGAAGTACCAAGCACTCAAAAATCCCTCTGAATCCAGTGAGTGCTGCAGGTGCTTTTCACCTTTGATAGTCGGGCCACATTTGCTAAAATAGGAGATTGTGAGGAGAATTCATACCTGATTTGACATCCGAAGACTTGGTAAGCCCCCTAAATAGTGAAGGAATAAGGGGATCAGTAGTGAAGGAGTAAGTTTTGACTAGGTAGGATAACTGAGTTCAGCTGAAGACCTTGCTCTTCAGTTGTGGTGGCAGTGCCAAGCATGCACAGTGAGCCCTGGGTGTTTAGTGCTTGGCACTCATTTCCCATAATGCTACAAGACCACCGTCAGGCCAGTAAATGAGAAATTAACTGACACACACAGCTGTGCTTTTCCCTTTCTGTGTTCGTCCCCATCTGTATTATCACAGTGCCCACAAGATGAAATGTCTGAATCTGGGCAGTCTTCTGCAGCAGCCACACCAAGCACCACTGGAACAAAGTCCAACACGCCGACTTCATCTGTGCCCTCAGCTGCTGTCACACCCCTGAATGAGAGCATCCAGCCCATCAGTGACTACAATGGCACGGGCAAGAACAGTAAGAGGGCGCGGGAGAAACGGAATAGCCGGAACATGGAAGTCCAGGTCACCCAGGAGATGAGAAATGTCAGCATAGGTATGGCAGGTATATTCCTATGTGTATGTACTCTGCTAGGCAGGCTGTTGCACAACTGTTTGAATAACTGATATACATGGATGTTGTGAAGTCAGTTACTGAAAGAGGTGTGGGGTACTAAAAAGGAATAATTGAGCAGGGTAGCATTGGAAGCAGGGTTGTGAGAGGGTAGTCAGGGACCTGCCCACTTGTACTTGGAGACAGGACTGTGCTCATATTGGCTGTTTTCTGTAGAATAAAACTATAGTTATATTTCCATAAGAATATAGGAACATAGAATTGAAAGGGACTTCCTGGGTCACTGAGTTCAGTTCCCTGATATTGTCTCCTATTTCATAAAATCCCTCTCAAACTGATCAAGCTCCACCTTAAAACCTGTTAGGCTTTTGTTTCCTCTAGTCTTATTGAAAGGTTGTTCCAGAATCTCCCTCCTGTGATGTTTAGAAACCTTCATCTTCTTTCCATACTAAACGGATTGACAGCCAGTTCATACCCATTTGTTCTTGTGCCAACATTGTCCTTTGGCTTACTTAATTCTTTTCTTTCCCTTGCATTTACCTCCCTAAATATATTTGTAAATAATGATCATATCCCCTCCCAACATTTGTTTTGCTAGGTTAAACAAGTCAAATTCTTTTGGTTTTCTCTCATGTAAAAGGCCCTTCACTCTCTTAAACTATTTTTACTCCAGTTCCCAAAGCCCCATTGGGACTTGAACCCACAACTTTAGGCAAGCGAAGCCAAAACCAATGCCCTGTGCCTCCATACTAAATGAATAAAAAAATAGCTGTAATGCCATTACAGCAGCCATTTCAGTATAGTTCTGTGGTCTCCCATTACCAAAGCATCTGAGCACCCCATAGTCTCTGTAATGTGTTATCTTCACAACATTCCTAGGGTGCAGGAAATGGACCGTTTTACAGATCAGAGATTGGACCAGGAGATCTAGAAAGGTCTGTAGTGAAGAAGAAAAATGAACCCTGGCCTCGAGAGCCCTAAGCTATCACCCAAATCACTGGACCATCCTTTGACTGAAGTTTATTATATTTGACCAAGAGGAATTGTGATACAGTGCCTAAATGAGTTCCTGACAGATTGAAACCAGAAAACAATGACCTTTTCTGCTGTGGCCTTTGAGCAAGAATGCCAGGGTTCAAGTCCCATTTTCTCATTATATTAGTAATCAGGTTGTCAGAATCACAAACCTCTGGCTGGCAGAGGGTAATGTAGTTCTTCAAAGCAGCACTCTCTTACTGGGTGTTAGTTACTAACTAGCCAGTAACTCTTTTATGATGTTGGTCAGGCCAGGTCAGTAAGCATCAGCACTGGAGAGAACAGATACCTGTTATGCTACATCCAGTCCCCACCACCATCCTGTGCAGATCATCAGAGTCTGGGAACTGAAGACCATCACAGGGAATTAGTAAGAGACAGACAAAACGAGATTTGTTGCTGGGTAATTCCAGTGGTGATAATGGTTTTATATCAGGAATAAATTTGTTGTACAGTATTTTCTCCAAAATAGGTTGTATTCCACAGGGGAGGCATTAGGGTTCAGAGAGCTGCAGCTCTAAAACACTTTAAATAGTTGTCAGTATAATGACTTAAAACTCTTGCTTTGCAGCCATTTTACTTTCGCCTTCTGGGGCCCAAATCTGCTCTTGTGTGTGTGTATAACTCCATTTGAAGCTAACATATAACTGAGAGCTGACTTTGTGGTATATTGAATATGTATAACTTGAAGTTGAGGAGCATTACTTCCAACTGTTCCTCTGCTGAAGATATTAGGGGTGAATTTGGCCTTCAGAGCTCAAACTCAGTCCTTCAGCATGAGCTTACATTTTCTGAATGGTTCTGGACACCGTTTTTAGGAACCCTGATTAAACTTGATAGCCAAAGCTTTTGTTACAATCTCTGCATATTCAGCCTCTCAGGTTTTTGTCCCATATCATTTACAATACAGCATCAGAGCAGTTTTCAATACTGGGGTTAAACCTACATGACATAAAGTAGGATTATTATGTTATGTATCTTGTACAGTGAAACTTCAGATGCATGCAGGTACCAATGATGCAAGCACATCAAAACAGAACATTCAAGACCATGTTCACACAAAATCATGATCAGTTTTAGTATCTGGAAGAAGGTTCCTCAGTTTTTTTTCAAGAATAACAGCTAAGAAATCCTTTGCTTCCACAAACTTGAGAATGTTTGGTATAAGGAGCCCCATTCTTGTAGTGAATACACACCAATCCTTGTCTTGAAACCTGACATGCATTACCAAGGGTTGCACAAAACTGGCCTGAAGCAATGAAATATACATTCAAGTCATCATGGGCTGTATATACTACATGCAGGGTGTGTTTAGCAGGCAGATCTGATGCATTTAGGATTTTAATGCACTTTGTTATTTGGGGCTTAGTTCTGCAGGGATATCTGGATGGGCAAACCCTGGCCCCTCGGTGGGGCCTACCCTCATGGGAGAATTTCAAGGCTGCATGTTTGAATAGTTCAGCTTCATTTGTAATCCATACAGCTTCATAAGTTACTGGGAATTTCCTACTCCTTTCTTCATCAAATGATGACCCCAGGCCATGGATCATATTAGAAATAGATTAGATTGTATGTCTATGGATTGCTATTTCCAAATGCAATTCACTATAATTAACATTTCAATCAGGTGCAAGAATCTCTATAGTCAAATCATTTCTGTTAAAATGATTGTCATTATTTATAGCTTTAATAATCTTCATGTAAAAAAAAAACAAAAAACGAGTAAATTAGTATATGTTCTTATGCCTGTTATAATGTTGCATAAGGAGAGATGGGTTTTGCTGAAAAATAAAAGGCACATTCTGGAATTTTTTTTTTTAATGTTTTATATCCAAAAACACTAGTGCAGGCACTTGTGGTCACTTCTATCCTCGTCATGGAATTTTAGAATGCAACTTCCCAAACTTAGTATATGTGCGACTTCCTAAGTAGCCATTTGCTTTCTGTTTTTTTTGACACACTGCACCATACCATGAGGCTTAGAGCTCTTGAGAGTTTGCAGCCTGATCTGGCAAAACCATTTAGACTCAAAGAACACTGTCCCTCAAGTGGACCACAGGTTGGCCTATTGTTCTTCTGAGTCAGTCTCTCAAATGTGTGGTATGTTCTGTAGGAATGGGCAGCAGCGATGAATGGTCTGATGTTCAGGACATCATAGACTCTACTCCAGAGCTGGATATGTGTCAGGATCCCAGACTGGAGCGCACTGGAAACAGGTATTGGCTTTTGTCTTCTATTTGTGTTTCATTACTTGTATAGTTATTCCTGTATAGAAATATGGTGCACGCTAATGAGGGGGAGGCATGGGTTTATGAGAAATAATATGATTT